CCTAATAGGGAGCGATGCAAAAATTTTCGCGCCAACCGGATGCAAACCCGCGAGCGTTTGACTTGAAAGCGAGACCGTTACCACAAGGCCACGGTGGCACTGCCGAGACATCGATCAGCAGCGCTTACGAGCCAAAACTGACTTTTCGCAAACTTTGACCACCCAGATCTCGTCTGGGAGGTCCCCGTAGCACTTTTAATCTGCATATTCGTAATCAGCATTCGAGGCTCTATCGATGTACCTAGGTCTCCATTCAAAGTTCCATGGGAAGTTCAAACCATTCCCTTGTGAGCCGCTCTTCTGCCGGGTGGTTGGTTGGAAGGTCTCGAAAAAGCGACGAATTTATGCGATTTCTCAATTTATTCTCGATTTCTTCTGACTGAACCTTTCTTTCAGCGTCTCGTATCGATGAACATGCCACTGAACTCAGACGGTACCGTATGCTTCAACGCAACTCTGTTCGCTCTTGTTCGGACGAACCTCAAGATTTACACCGGTACGTTTTGATCAGGAGCTTTCATGCACAGAGGGACAGAGGCAGAAAAGTATACTTCATCCAGGGCTCTGCAGTCGTACATGGTTAGAGGCACGCACAAGAACATGGCTAAAATACGACCGATAAAACGCCCCTATGATCTCTTCAGGGCTCGCCCTGTCGGTCAGTTGGAAGAGAAATGGGCATGGGTAGAAAAAGTAATGCAAAAGACTGATGCTTTGTTCCATCCTTCACCTCAGCTGACAGCCTGGGCCCCTAATCTTCCACGCACGTTGATTCTCCAGGTTCTGAAGGTGCTCTGGCTGAGATCAGTGCCGGATACTATTTTCCTGGGTACCCATGTACCGCATGATTTCATGCGATTCAGTACTTACGGACAGCCGTGGAGAAAGGGTCTTTCTACCTCTTTCTCTACGAGTAGTAGAAATCCTTTCTCATCACTCGGAGGACATAGAAAGTCCCAAAACTTCGACCTTAGCCTGGACCTCATGGTGAACGCTCTTGGGGATAAGCATATTAAAGGACATCAGTGCTCATGTTTGTTATAGCTGAAGGCGATATCTGATGATAAATCAAATTTGAGAAAGCTGATTCCTGAAGAGAGCAATAATGCATTTCCCACATATTCAGAGGGTAACATCGACGAAGCGAACGAGCAACTGCGGTCAGCAATCAAACGGATTTGGAAGCGTACACCCGTGAAAATGCTTGACGAAGTGGTACCACCAGCAGGAAGTTGGTTATGAACTGCTTTGAAGTGACGTAGACGTGAATGAATGCCTTTTCACTTGTAGAAGAGGACGATGTGACCGTGGGCAAGTTCTACGCGACGTTCCTTATCCAAGACTACTTTCGTCGCTTTAAGAAGCGTAAGGAGCTGGAGGCTAAAGGCATTATGCCCACTCATACACCGCAAGCTATGGCGCTTCAGGTAAGATCACGTTTCTGGTTCTTGAACTGGACTTTCCCTCAGCGCCTAGAAGTTCACGTTTCAGTCGGCTATTTGATTCTGAAACGAACTTTCTTGGTTATTAGTTGCAGTTGCATCTCCAAACCTTATATGTTTCGCTATCTCATATTCCAGGAGTTTTTCTCCTTTTTGCAAGAGGATCACTGCCCTCATTATCTCATAAGCTCACATGCACTTCTTTTTTCGACTAGGATCAAGCGCGAAATACTCCAATACAAATGTCACGGTACTGATAAGTAACGGAATAGGGAAGAAGAAGCACAAGAATCTCTCCGAAAATGCCCTACTAAGAATGATCTGAAGACGCTGCCATCACGAACATGCCCTACTTGAGTAGAAGCTTTGTAGAGCGAAACTTTTAGACTTGTTCTTGTCGCTTACGATATCAGTTCTCCCTAATCAACTATCAATGTCACACCATTAAGAATAGAGAAGCAAGTAGAGGGGCTACAAGCTATTACATAGTAAGTAACTGCTGGGAGCTGGCTTGGGCCTAAGGGGTACTCATTAGTACTTGTGCCTTAAAGTCATGACGATAATCCATGAACTCTCAAAGGTACGGTCCGCGATAAGGAACGTAGGTGTAGGCGGTGAAATGTGTAAGAGGTGTTGCTGTATGACTCATCCGTAACAAGAGAATGCAGAAGGAAACGTTGGAAACATCTTTAATATGACCCCTTTAGCATCAAACGGGTCAAATACTAAAAAAACAGCTTGATGGGGCGACTCCAATTTCATTTTTCCTTGTAATAAGCCCTAGGACCAGACAAAAGACAATGTAGCATCCATTTCATGCTACTTGTCCGGTAGCATCGCTTTTGGCTGGAAGGCAGGCTTTGGAGGCGGAGTCACTGGAAAAAGGGAGGTACCACTGGAGCAATTTTGCGACATAACCCCTACACCTTGCACTTTCGACGGAGGAACCCGCACAAGATTATCCATTGAGACCCACACTACCCTCCAATAACAATATTCTGCATTTTCATGGGTCATCGCGGTCTCCTTCAGAGATCGTAGAAGCTCTGGGTTGGGCTAACCGCGGACCCCAGTAGCTAGGATGCATGCGTCGAAGCTCCACATTTGCGAACTGGCCTCACGGGCACTGACGCGTTTTGGTTGTTTTGCCTCCTATATCTAGGTCACCTTCTGGCCTTCCCAATATATGCTTGGGTAAGAGATTGTTTTTTTCAGACCTTTGTTTGTTTACCTAGGCTCTCGAACTCTGGAAGTGCTCTCATAGACAATAGAAAATCCATTAAAGAAAGTTGGTTGGATTGCTAGTGATAGAACCCCAAAACTGCTGACCAGGCAAGAGTTGTTGGGAGGGGAACGCGCAGAGCCGCGTTCACCTTTCTCTCAGTGTCTGCACCCTTTCATAGTGAGTACTAAAGTGACGTAAATACCCACTTCATAGTTCCAACAGTAGGTGAAATAAGGAAAGAGAGAAAGGGCAAAACATGATGTGACACCGCCTCATGGCCCAAACTGCCTGCGCCCCCCACTGATATTCGAACTGCTGCAACACCGTAGCACCCTTTGTTCCCTGGCTGTCATCGCCCATCCAGACTGTGTGTTCTTCCACAATTAAACTTCACTCTTGATAAAATTGCTTCCGGAGCAGACTAGCTCAGCAAAACAAAAGGGCTAGTGTT